TCAGCGGCTTTGGCTGCTGTTTTTGGCAATATGTCCTGGGCTGACATTCAGGCATGTGGCTTTTGGAGGTCAAATGGGGTCCTGGCCACACGGTACCTCGTTCGTATTCCTGGCTAATTCTCGGGTGTGTGTAGCCTTGGTCACAGGTTGACGCCAGTTGTCTTGACTTTGAGTTGAGGAGCGAGTGGCGGCCGCCTCCTGGTAAGTCCCCCTTTTCCTTTATCTTTGGTTAGGTAGCTCAGGGGAGCCGAAGAGGCTCTCCACAAAAAAACCAGTGTTGAATGTAATGAAACGCCATTTTCTGGGTGAGACCCGGAGGCTCCTCGGCATCCCTCCCTCCCTTCGGTTGGCGTTTTTTCTATTCAGCCTCTGAACTGAGGTTGGCTAGCCAGTGCAGGAGGTCTGCCCCCCCCCCTCTCCCCCCCTCCTGGGGAGGGGGCAAGAGGGGGGGGGGGGCAAGACTGCGGCATGGTGGCTGTGGTGATGTCATGCTTGTTTGCTTGTTTTCAATTAGGGAGTTCTGTTTGCTAGTTTGGCTTTCGGTTTGCAATTTTTAACCAGATGTAGTTTGTTTTGGAATTCCTACCTTTCTGGGTTTCTGAACTGGTATATGACAGACATAGACTGCTTCCAATTACATTGGGGGGTGTCTATAGGCCATTGCTCCTCATGCCTCATCTGAGGGGGTCAAGTCCTGTGTTTCTTTTCCCTTCTCGAACTGTCTTCGGACTGGCTTGAGGAGGATGTGGAGGCGCTAGGTGCTGTTCCTGGGTCTTGTGCGCTTGTCTTGGCGGTGTGGGAGTCAGCTGCACTGTTAAAGCTGTTTACTCTGATCCTGCGGGAGGTGGTGTCTCTGTTCTTTGCTTCTCGTCTTGGGTGCCATCAGGTGGTGCTTGCTTAGTCCTTGGAATCTGCTTGGGCCCTGGCTCTTAGGTTTACTTTGCCTTTTTGTCCTTTGCTGTTTGCAGAGTCTGCAGTGGTGAAGTATCTGCAAGCAGCCTCTTCTAGTTGTTGTCCCATGTCAGACTTGTTGGTTCTTCGGGGAGCCCATGGGAAGTCTTACTGGAATGGTCGTGCCAGGGCTTGAGGTTCCTCCCGTCGTGATAGGCCAGTGGTGCCAGTTTCGGAGCTGGTGCAGCCTTTGGAACCGACGACGTCAGGTTGGCATGGTGATTGCTCTGTTCATCGGTCAGTTTCTTGAAAGGGACGTTGACCCATTCGCGGTTCGTCCCATTGATGGGGTGATGGGGGGGGGGGGGGGCAGGAGAGGCTAGTGCCATTTGTTCACGACTAGTCCCACACCCCCCCTCCTCCTTCGGGGGGGTTCAGGGCTTGTAGGGCAGGCTTCTTCTCCTGCGCTCTGTCGGGTCATCTTAGAGTAATTACCTAAGTGTAATTACCTAAGTGTAGTTACAGGATGAGAGCTACGCTCGTGGTGTCCCGTCTTCCCAGCACTCTTTGTCATATAACGCTTTGAAACTACTGACGGTCTTGGCCTCCACCACCTTCTCACTTAACTTGTTCCAACCGTCTACCACTCTATTTGCGAAGGTGAATTTTCTTATATTTCTTCGGCATCTGTGTTTAGCTAGTTTAAATCTATGACCTCTTGTTCTTGAAATTCCAGGTCTCAGGAAGTCTTCCCTGTCGATTTTATCAATTCCTGTTACTATTTTGTATGTAGTGATCATATCACCTCTTTTTCTTCTGTCTTCTAGTTTTGGCATATTTAATGCTTCTAACCTCTCCTCGTAGCTCTTGCCCTTCAGTTCTGGGAGCCACTTAGTAGCATGTCTTTGCACCTTTTCCAGTTTGTTGATGTGCTTCTTAAGATATGGGCACCACACAACAGCTGCATATTCTAGCTTTGGCCTAACAAAAGTCATGAACAATTTCTTTAGTATATCGCCATCCATGTATTTAAATGCAATTCTGAAGTTAGAAGCATGGGTTCACTTAGGCGTGGTTAAAACGACCTCATCCCACAGGTGGGTTTCTCACCTGTTTCCGGTTCCGAAATGGGACTGTGGGGACCTGTGGTTCATTCTGGACTTGTCCCGTCTGAACCCCTGGGTCTATTGCCCCTCCTTTCGGCTGACTACTCTGTTCCAGGTTCATCTTCTATTAGAGCTGGGCACTTGCATGGTGTCCCTGAACCTCCAGAATGAGTACTGGCACGTACCGATTCATTTGGGGTTCAGGGACTGGCTAGATTTTGTTGTGGGACGTCAGGCTAACCGCTTTCGTTGCCTTCCATTCGGCTTGAATCTGGCACCTTGCATGTTCATATGCCTTACCCAGGTTGTAGTGGCCCATTTGCATTTGTTAGGGGTTTGGGCCTACCTTTCGGGTTCACGGACGTGTCGTTTCTTGGCTGGGGCTGTGTGACCAGTGCTCACCAGGCCGGCCAGGGTCAGTGGGGTCCATTCTTTTGTCAGGCCCACAGCCCACAGCATGGTGCGGAAGTTCGCTGCGGTGTCGCGAACTTCTTTGGAGATCCTTTGGAGGGTTCAGGTCACTTGCGGATCGACGATCCGGCTCCATTCAGACTGCTCCCCGGTGGTTCATTGTCTGAACCATGGGGGTTCAATGTGGTCCTTGGCTCTTTGGGGCTGGTAGCTTCGGGTGACTCGTCTACCGAGTTCTCGGGGTTTGGCTCTCCTGGCCGTTCATGTTTGAAGAGTGTCCAACGTCATAGCGGACGGTCTGTCTCGGTTCATTCGCCTGTCCGTGGAATGGATGGTCGACGCCAACTCGTTCAGTTGGCTCTGCCGGACGTATGGGCTCTCGGAGGTGGACCTCTTCGTGTCGGCATGGTCGAGGCATCTCCCGGTATATGTGGCGCCCTTCCCTGACTGCGAGGCTGTCTGGGTCAATGCCTTCAGGCAGTACTGGTTGAGGTGGGGTTACCTGTACCTTTTCCCCCCTGGTTCTGCTGTTGCTCAAGGTCCTAGCTTGCTTGGAGACTTTCCAAGGGAGAGTAGTCCTCTTGGTCCTCTTGGCCAGCCCAGCTTTGATTTTAGGCACTGCTTGCTCGGTTTCCAAACCCAGAGGTCTTCCCGCAGCTCTGCCTCTTTCAGCAGATCGGGCCAGTCCGTTGCATAGATGGTTCGTTCTTCTCAAGTCTTTGCATCTGATGTTTCTGATGCGGGTCTATCACCATTTGTATGGTGAGAAGGTAGCTTCATTGATGGTATTCCATGCCTCTGGGATCGGGTTAGGGAGCTTAATTTCATGCTCTTCTCTGGTGTATACGATTCTGCTCTTTTGGTCCTGGTGCTACCTTACCTTACCTTGAGGTTACCTTGAGGTGCTTCCGGGGCTTAGCGTCCCCGCGGCCCGGTCGTCGACCAGGCCTCCTGGTTGCCAGACTGGTCAACCAGGCTGTTGGATGCGGCTGCTCGCAGCCTGACGTATGAGTCACAGCCTGGTTGATCAGGTATCCTTTGGAGGTGCTTATCCAGTTCTCTCTTGAACACTGTGAGGGGTCGGCCAGTTATGCCCCTTATGTGTAGTGGAAGTGTGTTGAACAGTCTCGGACCTCTGATGTTGATAGTTCTCTCTTGAACACTGTGAGGGGTCGGCCAGTTATGCCCCTTATGTGTAGTGGAAGCGTGTTGAACAGTCTCGGGCCTCTGATGTTGATAGTTCTCTCTTGAACACTGTGAGGGGTCGGCCAGTTATGTCCCTTATGTGTAGTGGAAGCGTGTTGAACAGTCTCGGGCCTCTGATGTTGATAGTTCTCTCTTGAACACTGTGAGGGGTCGGCCAGTTATGTCCCTTATGTGTAGTGGAAGCGGGTTGAACAGTCTCGGGCCTCTGATGTTGATAGTTCTCTCTCAGAGTACCTGTTGCGTTTGTTCAGTTGCTAGATTGGTGCTAGGTTTGTTCAGTTGCAGCCGTCTCTTTTTCTGATGAAGAATGAGGCTGCTGGTTTCTGAAGGGGTCCTTGGGTTGTTGATGCTTGGTTGGTTTGGCCGGGAATGCATCATGTGTTGTGTCTGGTTGTGGCTCTTCACTGTTACCTGCACGCCATGGCCTCGGTGGCCGGGGACACGCTTTGGGTTGACCCGATTTCCCTTATTCCCTTTTCCAGGGTTCAGGTCTCTCAGGTCGTCTGCAGGTTATTTGATCCAGCCAGCCTGCGGTCTATCCTCGTGCCCATGACGTTCGTAAGTTTGCTGCTTTGGCTGCCCTCTTTGGTAACATGTCTTGGGCTGACATGTGGGCACGGGGTTTTTAGAGGTCAACAAGATCCTGGCTGTTCGCTACCTAGTCAATGGTCCTGGCCTGAGTCGGGCATGTGTCGCATTGGATCGGCAGTTGTAGCCAGTTGTCTTGACTTCGAGTTGAGGAGCGAGTGGCGATTGCCTCCCGGGTAAGTACCTCTTGTTTTGTCTTTGGTTAAGTAGCTCCGGGAAGCTGAAGGGGCTTTCCAGCCAGAAAACCAGCATTGAATGTAATGAAACGCCACTTTCTGAGTGAGACCCAGAGGCTCCCGGCAACCCTCCTTCCCTCTGGTCAGTGGTTTTCATGAGTTTTTGACATCCAGCTCATACTGACATACTGTCCAAGAGTTTGACTTTTAGTAGAAATATTTTAACCAGATAGGGTTTGTTTTTGGGCGCTTACCTTTCTGGCTACCTGACCCGGTCAATGGCAGACATAGACTGCTTCCAACCACATGGGAATTTCTGTAGGCAATTGCTCCTTGCGCCTCTCGGAGGGGACCAGGTTCTGGCTTGTGGTCCCCGGTAGGCTCAAGAACTCCATTTGCTTTGACTGATGCCAGAGTCTAATACATTCATATCTGCCCAGATAGCTCCAGGGAGCCTCCGGGTCTCTCCCAGAAAATGGCGTTTCATTACATTCAATGCTGGTTTTTTAAATTACTTTTAAAATCAAATAAAAATGCTTAAGTTATTGGGTACCAGTGATTTTACTGAAGTGCCTCAATCCAGAGTGAGAATGCTGTTAAAATGTTTTATCACATATTTCAGGTGAAAGTACTATACATCCGCAACCTGTCTTTGAGCACAACTGAAGAGGACATTAAACATCTCTGTAACAGCTCTAATGGGGTCGAAAGAGTCAAGAAACAAAAGGATTATGCATTTGTTCATTTTGCTTCGAGGGAGCAAGCTGAAGTTGTGAAAGCCTCACTGAATGGTAAGTTAAAGAGTACTGTACTGTATATAAAAAAATTTGCACAAAAATTCCACCATTAATCCAAATTAAAGAAAACTTATCTTTAATCCAATTCCCATAAGAGTGCCTTTCAAACTGGAAAGCCTTCAAAAGATAAGACTTAATAATTATGTTATTAAGCCTAAGCCAAGGACCAAAACTATCCAGGATGCCAGTGTGGATAGACTGGCTAAAGGGACAGGGAAAAGCTGTTCTAGTGGTTCAGGATATTCCCTGAAGATTGAGTGATAAGCTAACCTGGAGGAGAATAGGACTTGCCTGATATAAACTTCAAAACTATAAAGAAAGAGGAAATGCCAGAGAAAAAAAACAGTACATTATCTGGGTATGGCACACCAGAAATTCACAAATCTCTGGAGTGCCATGTACCTCAGACTGCAGAAGGCATGCAGTTGTCAAGCCAGCTGGCACAAGCCCAAACATGAATTCCCTACCATGGCAAAAATACTGAAGAAACCAAATGTGCATCCCAAAAGGGAAGCACAAGGAGATGCTGGACAAAATGGGCACAAATGGCTTGACCCTTCTCCAAACCCAGGCCATAGCTACAACTCCAGAATAGAAGAAATGAAGCTGGACAAGCTGAATGTGAGCCAGAAAAACATGGAAGAAGAAAGTGACGGGAGTAAACCCACCAACCGGGAGCCGGTCGGCCGAGCGGACAGCACACTGGACTTGTGATCCTGTGGTCCTGGGTTCGATCCCAGGTACCGGCGAGAAACAATGGGCAGAGTTTCTTTCACCCTATGCCCCTGTTACATAGCAGTAAAATAGGTACCTGGGTGTTAGTCAGCTGTCACGGGCTGCTTCCTGGGGGTGGAGGCCTGGTCGAGGACCAGGCCGTGGGGACACTAAAAAGCCCCAAAATCATCTCAAGATAACCTCAAGATAACCAACCAAAAGACATGTCCTCATCACAAATCAGTACGATGAGCAACAAGCACGAAGGGCTACAAAACTCAACCATCCCAGAAAGAGATGGCTTCCCACATGGCCCATGTGGTTGCCAGCCAACCCTGTGACTGAATGCCACAGGATCCCAAAAATGACAAAAAAGTTTGAGAACCCTTTCCTATAGAAAAATTGACACATCTGAAAGCACAAATGGCACCTGGCACCCACCTGGAACCCACAGTGGCACCCAAGGCACCCACCTGGAAAACTTGAGGAATATCCAGAAAGCCAGGAAACACCCCTGAGAAATCAGACAAGCTGACCACAGGATGAGAGGGAATATGGAGAGCAGCATGGAAATGGGCCAACAAAGAGCCCCATGTATTCCCTAGAAGGTAATATGGAGCTCCCAGGCATGGACCCAGAAAACCAGAGGAAGCCATTAGAAAATGGAGCACTGCTGAAAAATCAGAAAACTAACCTAGAAACACTTCTGGAAAAACCAACTGGAGCCTCGAGCCCAACCAGCTGATTGAGACTCCACCTGCAAACATGACAACTTATAAGACCACTGCATTTATAGAAGACAAATACAAAGCACATTTTTAAGATGTGTAAACAAATTGCAGGAATCACATGTACTGTACCAGAGAAATCCTGCAAGGATAATTCCACCCAAGTGGCAGTTGTTAAACAAAAGTCAGCAAGCGGGACAAATTTTCAAAATGCCTCCAATACTGCATACATGCCTGCGTACTGTCTGGGACTGAAGTCAAAGAAAAATTTGAGAGCTTGATTTTTACTTGATATGCCGCAGAACCCCTAGGCGACCAGACTTGAAATTGTAAATCAACCCAGGGCATTCGCCCATAACCAGGGGGCACATTCATAGAATTGAGAAAAGCTGTAATCCGGAGGGCTGGTTAGAGACCGGGCTTCAGGGACATTGATTTCCAGAACCAACTATGTTTTTGTAATTGCCAACAAAAGGTAGTCAAAGGGGTAGCCCAGTGAGTCCAGTCAAGAGACTTTGGCTCCCAATTGGAAATAGTGACTTCGATGCAGAATCTGTAAAAATGCACAGAAACTATTGAAACAAACCAGGTGACCAGAAAAATAACCCAGGTAATGGTCCCTGGAAACTAGAGCATGCACCCGGGGGCAAAGGATACAAGCAACGGAACTGGAGAACAATCTCCAGTCATGTACTACTACCCATGTACTATTACCCAGGAAATAAACAATTGTTGAGTTACATCTTGGTTAAAGTTAGTCATTGCCTTTAAACTGGGAACTTCAAAAGCATAAGACTTCCAGCCCATGACATTGGGAAACAACCCTTCTTACATTTGTATGACATGAGCTCGTAGCAAGTGTGTGCTGCATTTGGTAACCTTGTCTGGTATGATGTGTATAGCCCCCTCATTGTTCTTGGTCAAGTTCTAGCTGGTTGGGGGAAGGCAGTTCAGGTGCCAGTATCCGTGTCTGACTCCATACACGACATTCCTGGTAGGTTGCCCCTTAACATGCTTCTCCAGAGCTGCCTTGGTTTTACTAATATAGTTGCATAGTGTTCTTCTTTGTAAAGTTTCTTTAGTATCTTGTTGATAGTTATGCATGTACTGGTTCTTTCATATAGTTAGGAAAAGGTCAGTAATACAGTACTGTATTTCTGTCAGTTCTGTCGGCACAGACCAGACTTTTCAAGTAGTTTCCATATGTACAGCTGTGTCCATCTAAACTGGAGATGGTCTCATCCTCTCAGGGTATGGAACATAGGCAGTACTCTTGCCTTCTCAGGACCTAAACCAGGTCCTAAACCACCATTTCATGGGCTTGCCAGGCACTTAAAAATTCTTACCAGTTTCAAATACAAGCCAAAATTCATCTTATGGTTGCATTCCCTGGGGTACTAACCCTTTATTCAGTGTCAACAGTCTGAATCGGTGTTTCATGGTGACCATAAAGGTGGAAAGACGCCAGCTTCTGCACTAAAACTGTAAGGTCAAGTATGACAATGGATAACAGCCCACTAAAAGAGTGTAAACAAGACTCATTGAGCAAGGGAAAACCAGCTTCCTGGACTATCATGCTGACAAATAGGCATGCCAGGCATAAGGGAAGTGTCTTTGCTAAACAAATCTCAAGCTCCATCTATAAATGCCTAGTGGATTTAGGTGTAGGCAGCCATGGGACAACAACAGTCCATTTCCATTCTGTAATAAATGTAAATGAACTACTGTACTGTTGCTAGAACTTCTGACTCCATAATGTAATAGTCTATGACTGTCATCATTAAGCATCACCTTTTTATTGTATTCATTTGCTGTTTTGCTTGAACATTCTCATTTTTGTTTGCTTACTTCTCTTTTAGTATTATATGTCTAGTGAAAGCAGTCTCCATGGCGGAATGGTAAAACACTTGCCTGGCACTTCGCAAGCGCTTTGGCCTGGGTTTGTATCCTGGGAGGGGAGGATTGGCTGGGCTCCAATCCTTAACTGTGGCCTCTGTTCACCCAGCAGTAATTGGGTACCTGGTTGTTAAACGATTTGGCAGGTCGTATTCCGGGGAAAAATTACAATTGAGGACCTGCCAAAAACACTATGCATACTAGTGGCTTTGCAAGAATGTAAGAACTATTGTATATGTAAATAATAACAATAAAAAAAGTGTTTACCCCTCACCTTTAATTAAATTTTGTTCTAAATTATTTTAAGTGTTGTCTTAAATGCTTTGCGTAATAGTATGTAATAAACTTTGCGTAATAATCTTTGATATCCCCAGAGTCAAACTTAATCTGTGTAAACACTATGCAAATAAAGGGACCTAGTCTATGGAACTCACTTCTAATGAATTGAAACGCTGCCAAACTTTTGCCTCATACAAATACAAATAATTATTCAGGTAAAGTACATACATACCAGGTGAGATACAAAAAGTTGATGGATTTATAGATAGAGTAAAAAAATCAAAAAACCAGCGTTGAATGTAATGAAACGCCATTTTCTGGGTGAGTCCCGGAGGCTCCCCGGAGCTATCCCAGGCTGATATGCTAATGTCAGACTTTGGCATCAGTCATGTGTATGGAGTTCTTAGGCCTACCGGGGACCACGGCCAGAACCGGGCCCCCTCAGAGAGGCAAGGGGAGCAATGGCCTATAGAAGCCCCCGTGTAGTTGGAAGCATTCTATGTCTGCCATCGACCGGAACAGGCACCCAGAAAGGTAAGCGCCCCAAAACAAACCCCTATTCTGGTTAAAATTGCTACCTAAAACCGAACTAGTGGATAGAACTCCCCAACCGAAAACAAGCAAACTAGTGTGACGTCACACACTGCCGCGCCGCTGTCTGCGCAGCTCCCCCCTCCCCGGGAGGGGGAAGGGGGAGCCCCAGACCCCCCGCGCCGGCTACCCACACCTCAGTTCTTGAGGCTGGATGTCAAAAACGCGAAAAACCGCCGACCGGAGGGAGGGAGGGATGCCGGGGAGCCTCCGGGACTCACCCAGAAAATGGCGTTTCATTACATTCAACGCTGGTTTTCTGGGGGGAGCCCCGTCGGCTCCCCGGAGCTAACTACCCACAGACAGAAAAAGAGGGACTTACCCGGGAGGCGGTCGTCGCTCACCCCTCAACTCGAAGCCGAGACAACTGGCTGCAACCGCCGACCCAAAGCAACACAGGCCCGACGAGGCCCAGGGACATTCACAAGGTAACGCGCAGCCAGGACCCTGTTCGACCGCCAAAATCCCCGCGCCCGAATATCAGACCAAGACATATTCCCAAAGACGGCAGCAAGAGCCGCGAACTTACGAACGTCATGGGCACGGGGATAGACCGCAGGCTGGCTGGACCTAATAACCCTGCGGACGACCTGAGAGACCCGAACCCGCGAACAGGGAAGAAGGGAAACCGGATCAACCCACAGCGCGTCCCCGGACACAGAAGCTGTGGCGCGCAAATAACGGCGAAGCGCCGCAACCGGACACAAAACATGATGCACCCCCGGCCTGACCAACCAAGCATCAACCACCCATGGACCCCTCCGGAACGCAGCAGTCTCATTCTTC